CTATTTATTGCAGTACGTATTTCTGTTTTTCTTTTTTAGTGGGTGGGGTGGACTAACTAATGGTGAACTAGGAACGCCCAGCTGAACTGAGTCAGCGTGGTCTGGGTGTGGAAGACCCACCTGAGGGTTATTGCAACAGCATAAAAATAGAACTGGAGGGGAAGCTTGCATGCTCCAGTTTTCTTGGAGAAGCTTGCCATGTCAGGTCCTCATGGTCACGATGGATGGTCTTCGCCTTGAGTATCGCTTCCTGGCTCCAGGGCAGGTCCCTCGGCTGGGGGCGCAGAGCCTTCTCCCCGACAGTGCAGGCTTTTAGCTTCCACCACTGGCCCTTGGGCCTTCCCGGTGCCGATCCCCGATACGGACTTGGATGAGACACTGCTGTGGGACCTAGGCCTCTGGCTGGACTCGTGGAGGACATTGCCTTGGACTGTAGGCCTTTAGCTGGACTTCTGCGGGACACTGCCGTGGGATCCAGGCCCTTGGCTGGATTCTTCGGGTCTCTAGTGCACGGACAGATCTCTTGTAGTGCTCTGCAACTGACTTTCTGGGTGAATTTTATAAAATAATCCTACAGGGGCAGGGGATTTAGCTCAATGGTTCCCCTGCCTGCCTCACAAGCGCAAGGACCCAAGTTCTATCCCCAGTACCAAAAAAAAAAAAATCCTACAAATTATATGTCCTGTATTAAATCTATTCCCTTGCAAACCCTGACTATAACAGAGAGGTTGAGACAGGGTCTCACTATGTAGTTCAGGTTGGCCTCAAACTTGTGGGGACCCTCCTGCCTCAGCCTCATGAGTGCTGAGATTGCACATGTGCACCGCCATGATTGGCAAGTATTTATATATTTAACAACTCCACATCTGAAAACCTCTGTTCCCCTTTTATTGGGTCGCTCTCTTAAAATGTCACTGATGAAGGCCCCCACCCCCTACCCTGTGGTTTTTAATCTCACCACATCCCAGAGCTCTGAGGCTTTGAGGAACACCCACGTCAGGTCCCAGCCAAGCAGGCTGTGAGTCCAAGCACCAGCCCCAGGCCCGTGTGGTGGCCAGGACTGCAGGTGGGGACTGATCCTGGCAGGATGCCTGTTCCTCCCTCGGAGCAGGGACACTGTGTGTTCTCCCCGGCCCCACTGCATACCAGTAAGTCAGACAGCTGGGAGGTCGGGCAGACGGGGCCCCTCCTTCACAGGTAGGAGCACGGTCTCAGACCAGAGGCAGCTTGCCCATGGTCACGTGGGCAGGAATCAAAGGAGCCAGTATCTGGGCCCTCCGCACAGTGAGCAAAGGACCAGGTAACAGCACCTTTATTTTGCAAAAGCCACACAAGTCCTGTCGAGGCGGCCCTTGAGATGCAAAAGCAGCTGCAGAGCCAAAATCAGATGGATGGGCCAGGCTGCCCATGCTGAACTTCAAAAACCTTACCATTTTCATGTATCATGCAATATTCTTTTCTACCCAAGAATTTTATTTATTTAAATAAATAATGAGGGGCTGGGGATTTAGCTCAGTGGTTCTGCCACTTGCCTCGCAAGCACAAGGACCCGAGTTCGATCCCCGGTACCAATAAATAAATAAATAAATAAATAAATAAATAATAATGACTGCTCCTTTTGTCTCATTCTTCTCTCCTCTTCATCTCAATGTTTAATTTTTCAATTTTTGTCTTGCATTCTCCCATTCCAAACCCTCTATCTCTTTAACAGTATGATCATTAAGCTTTATTAACCCTTGGATAGTTAACTCTATGTTACTACTGTTGAGTTCTTTTCTATCTTAAGTGGAATTTAGTAGATATGTGCGGTATGACACTATTTGGCTTGCCTGAGGATTTATCATGTATTTGTACATTTCTTTTCTAAAGATAGGGTGATACTTTATTGGTTCTTACGGTAGTCAAAATCCAGTCTGTCTTGGACAATATCACTGCTGCTGATTTACTTGCTATTGCCAGGGTTGCATAGTTGTTGATATTAGTGGACTTTCTCTGTATGACAAAGCCTGGAATACTTTGAGACATTAACAGTACTGTCACAAGCCAGGCAGGGTGGTGCATACCTGTAATCCCAACACTCAGGAGGCTGAGGCAGGGACATCACTGCAAGTTTGAGGCCAGCCTGGGATACACAGTAAGTTCAAGGCTGGCCTGAACTACATAGTGAAACCCTGACTCAAAACCAAGCAAACAAAAAACAAATAATACTGTCACAGCCTGGGGTAAACAGTGAGGCCCTGGGTTCAATCCCTAGTACTGTAAATAACTACAACAGTGAAACATTGTTTATGGTAAAAAGTATATATATTATTTTCCTTTTAGTACCAGGGATCGAACTCAGGACCTTGTGCTTGTGAGGCAGGCGTGGTGCCACTGAGCTAAATCCCCAGGAAAAAGTATATTTTTTAAAAAGCAACCACTTCATATCTACCAGGATGGCTACTTAAAAAAAAAGCTGGAAAATAACAAGTGTTGGTGAGAATGTGAATAAACTGGAAGCTTCCACACCGCTCATGCGGATGTGAAGCAGTACAGTTGCTGGGATAAGTCCGGCCATCCCTCAGGACACTAAACAGAATTGCCATGTGACTCAGCAATCCCACTTTTTTTTCTTTCTGGTGTCGGGGATGGAACTCAGGACCTTGCGCTTGCCAGATAGGCACGGTGCCACTGAGCTACATCCCAACCCAGCAATGCTCCGAAGAACTTACATCAAGACGCAAACACTTACTTTCACACCAGTGTCCATTGCACCATTATTCACAATAGCCCAAAGATGGGAACACCCCAAGTGTCCATTTATAGATGAACAAAAAACCCAAAATGTTGCATATCCCTATCAGGGAATATTACTCAACTATGAAAAGGAATGAAGTTCTGATACATGTTACCCCACGGACAAATCTTGAAAATACTAAACTAAGTGAAATAAGGCAGTCATAAAGGAGAATTATTCTGATTCTACTTCTATGACATACCTAGAATAGGTAAATTCCTAGAGACAGAAGGTAGATTAGAGGTTATATAGGATGGGGTGAGGGAGAAATGCAGTGAATCCTTTAATGGCCAGAGTGTCTATTTGGGGTGCTGGAGTTTGAAAAGAGGGTAGTGGTAATGGTTGCACAAAACTATTTGAGTGTAATGCCATTGATGAGGCATGTACCTGTCACCCTAGCTACTTGGGAGGCAAGGGGATTGTCATGAGTTGGAGCCAGTCTGAATTAGAGCGTGAGAATCTGTCTAAAAAAGGGGCAGATTTTATGTCCTATGTTCATGCTACTACTGAGCCAGAAAATGATTTCTGAGCAAAAAAAAAAAAAGGTTTTTCCTGCAGCTAGCAGACCTAACTGCAAAGAGCCAGCCCAGCTCATACCTTTCCCACACCTAACACGTCCTCCTCCATGGTCCTTTGTGCTCAGGAAGTATCTGTATCCAGAGTACTTTTCTATCCAATCATGTAAACTAAATGTAACTTCCTCAACCAATGAACTGACAATAAATGCCTTCTTTCTGTGTCTTCACCCCTCTTTCCTTAACCCATATAAATCCTGTTCACTGCCAGCTCTGGGTGGATTGCTTTATGGAGAAATCCCCAGTCAGCCCGCTGGTGTAATAAAGCTGTACACTTGCCTCCAACTTCCGGGTGTGTTCTCGATTCTTCTTGGCCTGATCCTGCTAAACCACTAAGAGCTCCCGCACTGTGGACTGCAAGTCTGCCGCTACACTATAACATAAAAAAGCAATGGATAGACTTATTCAGGATCAAAATTTTCATACATAAATAGTATGATTTTATATTGCTTCACAAAATAATGCTGACTACAGAGTTGCAAAAATTTTTGTACTCTAGTATTTTCAAAATTCATGATGTTTGTTATAGCATTGTTTATAATAGAAGTAAAAGCTGTTAGCAAACTAATGACCAACAATAGCTGAAAGCTTAGACAACAAAGTAATTAACTTTATGCAAATAATATTGTCATTAAAATAATCACAATTATGTAGCAACATGGAACTTGCCTGTAATACTGCATTAAATAAAAGGGAAATTGTGTGTATTGTCATTGGAAATGTATAAATGTATGGCACGCAGGAAAACAGTAGAGGAGAGTTATCTAATTCAGTAATTTCAACGTCACTTTTCCTGTAATTCCAGCACTTGGGAGGCTGAGGCAGGAGGATATTCATGAGTTCAAGGTCAACCTGGGTGACATGGTGAGTTCGAGGCCAGCCTGAACTAGGTCCTGAGACTTTGTCTCAAAAAACCCCAACAAATCAAAACAAAACAAAACGACAAAACAAGAAAAAGTGATCCAGGCGTGATGGTGAACACCTCTGGGAAGCTGAGGCAGGCGGATAGCAATTTAGTGACTTGAAATCGAGTCTCAAAAGAAAAAAGAGTTAGCTCAGTGCAAAGGCCCTGGATCCAGTCCCCAGGGCACGATGGGAGGAGGGATGAGCTGCAGTCGCTCCCTGCTCGGTTCTCACATCACTGCGCGGGGCCTGGGCTCTGCTGGCTCCGGGTGAGCAGGGATGCTCCGCAGGCCACCTCCGCCCGGCGCAGTCTCCCTTCGCTAAACTTGGGCCCCGCTTTGCCCCTTCCTCACCCCAAGGAGCCTCGAGCCCGCCCTGGTCCCGGCCCGCCCCTCCCAGGGGGCTGGACTCCTCCGAGCCCCGCCCCCCGTCCCCGGACCCCGTCCCCGGACCCCCCCCCGTCCCCGGGGACCGTCCCAGGGACGCTGGCCACGCCCCTCACTGACCCGCCCCCTCCCCGGAGACCCCTGGCTCCGTCCCATGGACCCCGGCGGTCCGCCACTTCCCCCCCCACCCCCCCACCCGCCGCAGATCCCGGTCCCGCCCCCTAGACCCCGGCTCCGTCCCGTGGACAATGCCCCAAACCTGGAGATGCTGGCTCCGCCCCCACGGACCCCGCCCCGCCCCTGCGGACCCCGGCCCCTCCCCACGGATCCCCCCCCCCCCCAGGGCGCGGCGCGCAGGCGCAGGCGCGAAGCGCGCGGGCGGCATGGGGACTGCGACTGCAGCGGCTGCGGCGGCCGGGGAGGGGGCGCGCAGCCCGAGCCCCGCGGCCGTGTCCCTCGGCCTCGGCGTGGCTGTGGTGTCGAGCCTGGTGAATGGGTCCACCTTCGTGCTGCAGAAGAAGGGCATTGTGCGCGCTAAGCGGCGAGGTAGGGCTGCGGCCGCGCGGGCTGGGCGGGGGCGGCCGCGGAGGCTCGGTGCTCGCGGCCCCTGACTCCCGGGCCGCGGAGGCCTCGGCCCGGCCCGGCCGTCAGCACCTGGGGGCCATCGCGGGCCGGGGCAGGCCTCATCCCCGCGGCGAGCGCGCTTCTCTTAGCGGCCCTCGCCGGGTCCTAGGCAGAGACGCCTGTTGAGACCCGAACGCCCTCAGGCAGAGGTTAGCGAGACCCCAGGATGGCCCCGCCAGGTCCCCTGGGCGGACGGCCCAGCTCGCCCGGTGCAGGAGGGCGGAGTGCGGTCGGGTCGCTGCGAGGGACTGCTGGGCAGGGTCCCGGGCTGTCACCAGGAGCCCTCTGCGCAGGGCCTGGCTGTCCGCTCAAAGAAACCCGTTTAATAATGCAGATTCCGGACACGGGCGGGGGCCGAGCCAGAAAAGAGCCTTCAGGGAAGAGAAAGGACCCAAATCTCGTGAAATTGTAAAACTTCGGATATTTATTTGAAGAAGTTAACGCCAAAGTGAAAGTACCAGTCTTCATATCAAACCTACATAAAACCAAATGCGACTTCCCAGGGTGCAGAAGTGTCTGTAGGACACACACACCATCGGGCACACACTTTAGCGGCCGCTCTGCTCAGGGAGCAGCGTCAGTTTGACAGACCTCAGGACTGGGTGAAGTGTGTGTGTCGTGACTCAGAAATAACTCACGTGGCCTTAATAAAATGATACGAGAAGGGCACTGCGCCTCCACGATAGCCACCCAAGCCCCATGACCCCAGTGTGACCCAGAGAAAAACAGACAAACCATGCAGACCTGAACCGGGAACGTCTTAGGAAGACCAGCCCGTTCTCCCATCGAAGTCGGAAATCTGAGAAACTGTCATGGCAGGAGGAACCCCAGGACGCAGGACACCAACTCTTCAGACATTGGAAGAAAACAAAGAAAATCTAAATGTGTCATTTCAGCTCAGTGTATGTGCTTAAGGGAACTGGTGAAAAATGAAACAGACACAAATCTTTTTTTTTTTTTTTTTTTTTGGTATCGGGGATCGAACTCGGGACCTTGTGCTTGCAAGCCAGGCAGTGGAACCACTGAGCTAAATCCCTGGCCCAACACAAATCTTTACAGAAGCATGATGGGCGCTGAGGCCGCAGCTTAGCATCTCCAAAATCCTAGGTTCATCCCCAATACCACATTAAAAAAAATTAAACTCATGATGGCCGCTGTTATTGATACGTACATACTATGTCTTTATTAAAGTGAAATGTGCTATTCATTAATTTCACACTTCCTTATTGTTTTAGTAAGTGTCCTTTCCGCCCCAGTACAAAGGCTCAGACCCAGGGATGCTGCGCCACTGAGCTACATCCCTAGCCCTTCCTTTTTTTTTGGTACCAGGGATCAAACTCGGGACCTTGCACTTGCAAGGCAGGCGCCAGAACCGCTGAGCTAAATCCCTGGTCCTTTTTTTTTTTTTTAATTTTGAGACAGAGTCTTACGGAGTTGCTCAGGTAAAACTCAGACTTGTAGGCCTCCTGCCTTAGCTTCCCTTAGTGCTGTCAACAAGTCTACCTTGATTTGTTGAACAGATATTTATGAAACTCCTACGTGTCAGACACTGTTGTGGGTATTGAGGATAGAGCCAGTTTAAAATGTGTCCCCCACGAAACCTTTTTCATGTTAGCTGTTATAATGTAGATCTGAAATGACCCCCAGAGTCTCATGTGTTCAGAGGTGGGGCTCTGGAAGGTGACTGGATCATTGGGTGCTGTACTCCCGGTTGATTCATCGCCTTGGAGAGTTCTTAGCTGAATGAACTCTTGGGAGCTGGGGCCTAGAGGTGGGCTGAGCCCTCTCCTCTGCTAGGCCTGACACCATGCTGTTCTGCCTTGAAGCCAACCCGCCATCTGAAACACTGAGCCAAGTAAACTCATCCCTTTTTTTTAATTACAAATTTTTTTAAAAATTGGAATCTTGCTAAGTTGTCCAAGCTGGGGTCACACTTGCATTCCTCCCCCATCGGCCTCCCAGAGTGCTGGGGACTGCAGGAGTCACCACCACACTAGGCTGACCTCATCCTTATGATGTGGGTATCACGTGTTTTGTCCTGTTAAGCGGAAAGCTGACTGGAACGTGTTCGCAGCAGAGTGGGCTTCTGTGAAAGGAGTGAGATGAGGAGTAAGGAAGACGGTGAACCAGAAGCGTCACAGTCGTGGTGGGTAGGGTGTCGAGTCCTGGCACTGGGAGGGTGAGGCCGGAGGGTTGAAAGTCGGAGCCCAGCCGGGACAACTTTCAGTGGCTCTCCAAGACCCTGCCCCAGAATTTAAAGACCCAAAGAGAAGGCTCACCCCACAGTGGTGGGAAGGCAGGAGAGGAGGGCCGAGGTCCTGCTGTCCCGAGTGGGCACGGCCTGGGCCCTCACTCCCCCACTAGGCACCAGCACCTCCTGAGAGTGCCACAAGCTCGCGGCATGGGAGGCAGCGCATGGGTCTTTGGGGGACGTTTAAAACCCAACCAGGGCATGACCGAAATAACCCGATAGCATCTCCAGAGAACCACAGTATTTGTTTGGGAATATTAGTGTTGCAAGGGGAATAGGCAGGCCACAGTGAATTCTGGGCGTACTCGAGGAGATTGAGCCAGGGCAAGTTTTTGAGGGCAAAAAGGAAGAGATTATATCCGCTCTCTGGATACGGAGTTGTTGGCCTTAGGGGCCTGCGGTAGCCGGGCCAGCTTGTTGCTAGAGGTGCCTGTGGGCGGATGCTCTGTATAGAGCATCTTCTCTGACCCTTTGCAGTCTTAAAGGATGTTAAAGATAAACTTCGTTACATAAATCTTCGAGGACTGCATGTGGCTGATGTGGGAGGGGCTGATAGAACTGGAAGGACTGTAGGACTTCACAGAGAGGGTGCTATACTTGTCTCAGGCAGGCAGGCTGCACCTTTGCCAGCTCGGCTCTGTGGAGGTCTGAGGAGAGCAGTGTCATCTCAGCGTCAGTGACTTTCGCAGTGACAGCTGGTTGCAGCAGGTGGGGCAGAGTCGCTGGCTGGGAGTCGGGCTGTGCAGAAGGACAGACCCTGAGGAGGCGGCATGGCTGCCTGGAGCAGGGGACCCTGGACAGTCCCAGTGGGCTTGTGCCCTTGGAACCTGTGGAGCATTTAATAGGTAATTCACTCTACCAAGGATGCGCTAAACCAGGACCAACCAGCTGATCTTTAAAAGAAATCCTTTTCATGGAAACGGCAAAAAAATACCATGTCATAGCGCTTAGGACAATAGTTGTCAAAAAGACATAAAATAAGTGTTGCCTAGGATGTGGAGAAAGTGAATGCTTATGTATTGCTCTTGGAAATGTGAAATAAGGTAGCTGCTCTAGAAAACAGCACATTTGTTCCTCAAAAAAATAAGCATAGAATTTCTATTTGATCCAGCAGTTCCACTTGGATTACCCAAAGGAAGTGACAGCAGGCCTCAAGGTAGTTGTACACCCACACTTGGCAGCATTTTTTTCCCCGATACTGGGGATTGCACTCAGGACCTTGTGCTTGCAAGGCAGGTGCAGTGCCACCGAACTAAATCCCTGGCCCTTGGCAGCATTATTGAAAATGGTGAAAAGAGAACGATTAAGTGCCCCTCAACTGTTTGGGGGTGTGTCTGTCAGCCTTTACTTCCTGTAAAAATACCTGAGATCAGCTTGGGAAGAGAAAGGTTTGCCTGTGCTCAGAGGAGTTTGGGCTGTGCCTGGCTGGCACTGTTGGGGGCTGTGGAGAGGCGGTGCGTCATGGAAAGAGTGTGTGGCGGAGGAAGCTGCTCCCCTCATGGCAACTGGGAAGTGAAAGATGGAGAGAAGAAGGGACCCCCAGTGACCTAGGACATCCTGCCACTTCCCAACAGTGCCCCAGGCTGGGGACCAAGTTGTCCGCACGTGGGCCTCCAGGGCCATTTTAGATCCAAGCTAGATTACTGTGGGTGGGTAAGTGACATGTGCTCTACGCAATGGATATTATTCATTACAGCATGGATGAGCCTCAAGGGATTATGCTCAGTAAAATAAGCTGGCTACAGAAGGATGGATATTGTAGGATCCCACTTTTCTGAGGCTCCCAGAGTCGTCAGGTTCAGAGAGACAGAGAGTAGGATAGTGCTTACACAGCGGGGTGGGGAATGGAGCCGAGTGTGTGAAGGGTATGAAGTTTCAGTTTGGGAAGACAGCAAAGCTCCGGAGATGGATGATGGTGATGGTTGCACATCAGTGTGAGCTCTCTGAATTGAAAAATGGTTAAGATGGTGAATTTTGTGTATATTTTACCAAAATAAGAAAACTCCCTTGGCAGTCATAGTCTTCTCCCTGAGAGGTGCAGCACCCAGGGCAGCCCTGTGTGTGTTGCCACACTCAAGAGAGAAGTGAGTTGTCCCACCTGAGTGGGTGCTTTCAGTTGCCAGGGGCTCCCCGCATCCCGTGGTGACCAGGCGAGTCCGAGTCTGGGGCAGAGGTGTGCTTTGTTGCTGCCTTCCCTGTTACTCCCTTGTGCCTGACACTCAGGCACACACGCGGCGCATGCACACCCATCCCCCAAGAGACTGAGGCCGAGATGGCAGTGAGTTCCTGCTGCGTCTGAAGCTCCTTGATCCTGCAGGTGGGGTCCATGTCATCTCCGTGTGTCCGTGGCACCTGTCTCCTGAAACCTGTGTGCGAGAGCTGCCCAGTTGTTTGCATTTCCCCTGCATCTCAGCTCCACAAAGCAGGGCACATGTCCTGTCCGCAGAGAGCCAGGTGGTGTCGTAACTGGCCCCAGGCAACCATGTTGAGTGTGCGTGTGTGTGCGTGCGTGTGTGTGCGCGTGCACACGTTTGCACATGAGGAAGCCAAACTTCATATTTTATGAAGGAACTTCAGGGCTGTCTTTAGGTACTCAGAGCTGAGCTCATTTAAGGAACAGAATCCAGAGTTGTTGCTAGATCTGAAAATCTGTAACTCCATCTGATCTTTA